TAGCAAGCCGCCCGATACCAAGCAAAGCCCTCTCGTCACCCCCGTCATCAGCCACCCCCACCGACCGTCCCTGTGCCGCCCACCGTAGTTCCCGTGCCGCCCACCACCACGGGACCTGCTCAGGTCCCTGAGGCCGCTGCCGGCAAGATGGGCGTCAGCTTCGGCGGTGCTGTCGTCGCTGGTGTTCTTGCCTTCTTCCTGTAAGGGCTATGGGAAACCTTACCTTATCCTTGATATGAAGCAATGAGATATCATGTGTACGGCGGTACTCTTCTTCTTCTTTACGCTCTCTTTGGGACTCGGGCCACACATATACACACGTAAGCACTTTTAACTTAGGTCCTCACGGGCAACAGGAGTTGGAAACAGGACAGGAAAGCTGGCGCAGGGCCAGCCGGATGGACAAGTACAGTCATTACCGGCATGAGGGACGGGAGTTTAGGCTTCGCACCAAAGCGAAACGACCTCATGAAAACACACATACACACACACACTCCTTGCATAGGAGGAAAGGCTTGGAATTCGAGAGACTAGAGAAGAATCGAAACCCGAGGCCCCCGAATCCTCCAATACCCAACCCACACAAACACGAAAGGCTGAACTCGCGTGCAACCTAGACCCACCAGACCATTCCAGGTCCGGCGGGCAAACTCTCAACCGGGATGAACTCGTGTGTGTGATGTCAGACAAACTCCGTTTCTCTTATCGCGTGCTAGCTAGCTAGCTAGGTAGATAGCTGGAGGTCAGGAAGAAAAACAGCGCACCTGTCGGTTCAAGGCACGGAATACGAATGGGGCAAAGTGAGGAACAAGAAAGAAAGAAAACAAGGCACTGACCCCATGCTTATTCGCTAGTCGACTTTCGCCGGCTTCGACTCACCGAGGTGTCCGTCCCGTGCATGGGCAGCCTGCACTACAGTACCACTGTCACTGACGCCTTGCACTACGCTGCACTGCACTGCACTACACTGCGCATGCCTTTTACACTTACACAGACAAGACGAATGAGACAGGGGTGATATCTCAGCTCGACGAGAGGTCGTCAGCCCACTGCTGCCCCACCCTCGCATGAACGCCTCCGTCTGCCCCCCCCCCCCCCAGGATGAAAAGGAAAATCAGGAGCGAGCTGCTCTGATTGAATGCCCAACAGAACTTGTGATTCCAGCAGGACGGGGATTGGACGGCGGCCGTCTCGTATCCGTCGCTGAACCTGTCAGAAGGACCCCCGGGGAGGCATTGATGCACATGCAGCTGCGTCACGGAAACATCGGCGGGTAATCGGCAGGCTTGTCGGTGGACAAGTCGAGGTAAGCAGGCAGGTTCGTTAGCTAGTAGGCGGTCGTATCACACCGATAAGCTCACTCGATCGATCGCCGAAAAAGGGCCTTGTTCAACCTGGAGCTGCACCAAGGGACACGCAGGCAGACACACAGGCTGGCAGAGCAGGTGGTCCAATTCATAAATTCGTGCTTCATTATCGCCTGCGCTTGAATCCCAGAAAAGGCAGCTAGCTGGCTCTACGTCGAGACGAGGTGATTAGGCCAGGTCCGTCATGGGCTGAGGACCTGTTCCTCATATCCCACCAGTCGGGACCGCGCCTCCCTGACAAGGGCCTTGGCCTCTTCCACTTCATATCCGTCCTGCGTGAGCTCTGTCGCCAGCTTGTCGGCCGCCTCATAGTCATTCGTGTCCATGGCGTACCGCGCGAGCCACATGCGCGCACGGCTCGTTGCCGCCGTGACGCCCGTTCCTTCGCGCGCCGCGCTCTCGCGGTCCTGGCCGTCCTCGTCGTCGGATGCGCCAGGGGAGTCGTTGTGTATCGCTATGGATTCTGTCAGCGCCGTTTCCCCGGCTCCCCCGTCCTCTTGTGCGACGCAGAGCTCCATGTACGACTTTGCCTCGTCCATGTCGCCCATCTCGTTGTACATGAATGCAATCTGGAAGAGCACGTCCGGGTCCATGTGGCCCGTTGCGCCCCGTCCGCTGAGGATATCCCCGCTTCCGAAACTGCTCCCCACGTCGTAGTATGCGTCGGCGAGCAGGGCCCGCTTGAGAGCCTTGATGCCCTCCCGTTCCCTGCCCATCCTCTGCAGGCAGGACCCGACGGCCACCCACATTTTGGCGTCCCACGGGCGCAGACCGGCGGCCTTTTTGTAATACCACAGACTGTACGTGTGCATTTCCAGCACCTCGTACGTCTGGCCGAGGCCATACCACGCCCGGTAATCCCGGCGGTTGACGTCCACGGCTCGGCGGTACGACTCGATGGCCGCGTGCGTGTTTTTCAGCTCGACGTACTCGTGGCCCATCAGCGTCCACGCCGACAGACACGTGCGATCCAACGTCAGGGCGCGGCGGAAATACTGCACAGCCTTTTCGTGCATGGACAGAAGAGAGTAGTAGTTTCCGACGACGACGCAGGACTCTGGACGGAAGCGGTCGATATTCGAGCACAGATGAGCTATGAAGGCAAGTTTCGGCCTCAGCTCCATGACGTAGAGAATATTCGAGTAGTGGTCGAGCGAGTCCAAGCGATAGGGGTGGAGCGACAGGAGGCGGCTAAAGTGCTGCTCGGCAGCTGCGAGATCTTTGGCGTGGTAGGCGAGGAGGGCGTTGCAGGTGAGGAGGAATGCGGAGGTCGGGAAGATGCCGAGAAGCTGGTCCAGAGAGTTGGCCAGACTGGGCCCTTGCTGGTACAATTCTAGTGATGTGTGAAGGTGGAAGATGAACGAGATTATGTTCTGCGGTAGGTGTCGCGATACGCGGTTGAGCTGACGCCGTTAGCAGGTCGACTTCAAGATCAAAGGTGAACGGCAGCAACCCACATCCTCCAGCCTCGTGATGA